CTGCATTGTAAAGGGACGAGTGTTTCAGCAATGTTGTCTCCCATCACGGTAACCAGTGGAAACAGTTGGCAAACTTGCTGCCACTTTTTCCATATTACCGTTCAGGTTTTGGAACCTGGGGTTGGGGGGGGCCCTGCATGTTCACCTGCCGAGCTCTCCCTACTTTATGGCATTGATAGCTTGTAAAATGGTTTTAAGAGCAGCCTCAGAAGACCTTCAGCATTTGCTGCTGTGTGCACATGAATATGACTAAAGTCCCTCTTTTTAAATTTTTTCTCCACTCCTTTTTTGAGTGGGGTAAGAGGGAACAAGGAAAAGATCCCTATTTCCCACAGAAATGACCAGGTTTGTATCTACAGAGCAACAACATGAAAGGGCCATTGCACGTGGCTGAAGCAGCTGGAAGAGAACCAAACAAGTTCTGCTGGTCATGACTGTCATGCAGTGGAGTTTCTGCCCTTCCAGGACTCTCCAATAGTTTTTGTTTGTTTGATTGATTTTCCTGCTGCTAAACAAACAGCTCCACCTTACTGGCTTTCCAAAAGAGCCCCTATGACAAGATGTTCCTCAGAATCTGCCCAGTAGGGAAATAAATACAAAGTTACCCTTTATTTTCAGCACAGAGAAAGCATCTTCTCCAGTCTCTTTTGCCTACAAACATCCAGGGAGCAGAAGGAAGATCATGAAGGGCAAGCCCCATGCTCTAGTACTGCCGGGACGCTGCCATGCCTGCTCTGCGCATGGAAAACAGCCTGGCTCTGCTTTGGGGCCATTGCAAGGGAGCTTTCTGTGAAGGACAAAAACTGTGCTCCAGTTGAGCTGGAGACAGCACATCATTACCAGAAGGGTAAGAAAGAGCAAACCCAACCAGGGAAGAAGCAGGCAAGTGGTGTGTGAAGATGAGCAACGTGGGCTAAGGAGGCTGAACGGAGGTTTAGGACGTGAGAAGACTGTGAGGTGGATGTGGAAGAGACCATTGTCCTGTGCTTGATGAAGGGAAGACTAGAGTCTCCCTTGATTTCAATGCTGAGGCTCAAAGCCACACCAGCACCAGTGAGAGACAGAGGAGTGGCATGGCCAGGGACTTGGGATCTGTTCTGAAAGGAGCTGCGAGAGGACATGGGGAGACATGGCGGGTGGGAGCCTGACGGCATTAGCTAAAAGGGGAAGCAGGGTTACTTCACCTTCATGACATGTACTCTGTTGAAGAGACCTCATGGTAATGGAGGAAGATCGTGTCCAGGGCGCACTGAAAGTGCATGTGCACAGCACTGGGCAACCTGGCATCTGGCCACACAAAGACCAAGCATGGGGCTGGAACGCCAGGCTCATCAGGTAAATAATGGCACTTGGACCAAGCGGATGTTTGAAAGGTGAAAATGAAATGGGCTACCTCCCAATCCTGAGAGCACCACAGACCCCTCCACAGAAAGGCTGTCAGAGCGAGTGTTTGCTGCTTGAGATTGGGCTCAGCAGAGGTGCCTCAAGCTTGTTACTTCAAAGAGAGAAGGCGCATGGGACAAATGGTGCTGGGTCACAATGATTCGGGAGCTGCAGCATTTTCCACAGGGTACTCAGCAGTGCTCCACAGTGAATCTTCTGAGATGAAAGGTACTTCCTCCTGGGTCTCAAAATCAATGTCCCAAGCATTTGCTACTCCTGAAAACACAGGAGTCCCTACCGCATCCTGGAACATCACGAGCTCTTACTGCAAAAGACAGCCTGCATCTCTTGTGCTCTGGAAACAACTGGGAATGGGTTCCTTCACACAAGACATACGGGAAAAGCTCTTGAGGAGTTTTATCAACATTAATACAGAGCAAATGCAGGAGAAGACTGGAAACCCCTCACAGAGCAAGACAGCATCCCATGTAGAGTGGGAGGGTCCCCACTGACCAGTGACAGACAGAGGAAACTCCGCTATCCCCAGGGCAGCATCAGTCCTAATGAAGAACTCAGTGCTTAATGGTGCCTCGTCCAGTGGTAGCAGCCTGTCCTCAGGAAGTTTTACAGGACTGGTTCTCCCAGACCTTCGTAAGTAGAGCTACTTCTGTAGTAGCATGGCCATGCCCAGTATGCACTGGCTGCACAGCGAGCGAGCACGGAGTGGGGCCAGGCAGCCCTTTACAATGTAACTGGAACAACTGGAGCAAATCTTGCAAGCAATGGTACTGCTTCCCCAGGTGGTGAGGAATAGTGCAAGGAACAGTTAAAATGATAAACATGCATCTTAAAATGCCATCTCTGTCTGAAGGGCAACAGACACTTTGGGGACACCCTCGCATTCAGCACCTGGAGAGGCTGCCTGTACTCAGCCTGAGCTCTCTGCTGCCCACTGCGAAGAAAACAGAACTGCCCCATGGCACGTGGTGTTACAGAAACCACTTCATCCCAGGCTGTTTCCATGTTATTTGCTCTGTTTGAAGCTCTCTGGACACCCAAAATACACATCTTGAGATTTCTATATTGTCAACCATTAACTAACTTACAAAGGATCACCAACTCCAGAAATTGTCCTCTAACTTATGCAAAAATGGCAAATATTTCAATCAAAACCAGAGTCTTAATTTCACAGCAGTGTTTAAACAGCAAGGTTGAATGATTCCTGTTCATCCCTCTGCCACGTGTGCGTTGGAGAGCAGAGGAGCTCGGCAGTAAGCAGTGAGACACGCGTGCGCATCATGGAGGGTACAGCAGGGACATTCCCGAGCAGACTGTCCTCTGCTAAGAAAGATGCAGAGTGGTTTGTTAGGTTTTGTATTTTTAGCAGGTTCAGAAAAACCTGCCCAAGTTCTTTTTGAAGCCTGTGGTATGTTTGTTCACAAAAGCATCCCTGCAAACTCTCAATATTAAGTCAGTTTAACCCAACCCATTCCCCAGGGACCAGGCAGAAAAGCATCCCTCCGCTTCTGCTGGACTGAGAAACACAAATATGGGGTAACTGCTTCAGAGACACCCCCACCCCACTCTCATGCCGATAGGTGACATCACCAATATTTGATCATTTCTTTTTTCTGTAAGCGCTGTCACAGGAGGCTAGCTGGACTGCAGGAAGCAAGCGAGGTTACATTTTATCCTGTTCCTCCCACACTTTGCATAACTCACCCAGAAACCCGAAGAGGACAAACATTTAAACATTGTGCTCGGGCCTTTTGTTTGTTTGTAAGGCAATCTGACAATTTCTTGGCCTGTAAACTCAAAATGCATCCTTTTGTGTCTGGAGGAAGCCAACTGCGGGCACAGATCTTTCCCAAGATCTCCAGGCAGAGCTGTAGCGTGGTTTGAAACGTTTTGAACTGAGTTGCATGTAAATGAAGCAGTCACTGGCTCTTCAGCCCTTCTGCCCCTGCCTCCATCCTCTACCGGCCCTGAGAAGAAGGGCAGAAGGTCAGAACAACCCCCAAAAGACAGCTAATGGGGAGGGGAAGGGTCACCATGGGTGGTGGTTGGGGGTGTCAGTCCAGCCATGCTCCTCTGCCGGCCAGGGAGAAGATGAAAGCTGTGGCCTTCTGAGATGGACCTGCCATTGGAGAGCTGTGCTTGAGCTCTGTCCCTGGGTTGGGAACTTTGTCCCTTCATCCTGGGGTAAAGGACAAGTCGTAAGTATACAGCTAGGCCTGGGAAAGACAGGGCAGCAGCAGGCAGGGGAATCTCTCTGAGTTACGATTTGCTTTGTAAAACTCAAGCAACGATCTTTATCACATGAGCCAAGAAGTTGTGCAAGTCTCACAATAACCCAGCTCTAATTCCTCTTCCGTTCCCAGCTGTGTTGGGGTTCGGCGTTAGGCAGCCGACAGATGTGCTCTGACCGGTGCAGCCCCGGCGTCCCTCTCCAGGCTGTGCGAGGAGGGAGCAGCTGCCGGTGGAACCCTGCACGTGGCCAGGTGCTTCCCCTCCCGGACAAGGGGAGACGTGCAGCTCAGTACTTGGACATCTTCCTGAGCTGCTCACTTCCCACAGAAACCCTTGACAAGGTACATCAGGCAAAAGGGTGGGATAAAGTGTAAAACTGTCTCCTAAGTAGCCTAAAATCTCAAGTGTCAAGCACAGGCAGCTCCCAGTCGGAAAGTTTGACTTTTATGACAAGCCTTAACCAAAAATCCTGACAGTTAATTTTGGAGTAATACAAGGGGCAGCTTTTTTCTCCCATTTCCGAAACGAAGGACCTGTCATCTGAGGAGACTCAGATACACATGGCTGAGATGTAGCAGCCGGCGGCTGTCCGGGCCCGGCACAGACTCTGCACACTGGTGTAGCCAGACTCCAAGATGCAGCTGCAGGCAGGTGTCATCTTCTTCCCTCACTTTCACATGCACGAGTACTGCAGGTGCTACTGCTGCCACAACTCCATTTCACTGGTAACTTCAGAATGGAAATTAGTCCAGGAAAGTAATTTTCATGATGACTCAAACACAAATACAATAATAGAGTGATTTCCATTTCAGTATTTCCACAAGGTCTAGTACAAGGTGATCCTGCATACCTAACTCATTCTTCTGCAAAGATATTGCATCTATGCATTCCCTCAGTTTACAGCCAACGTTGAAGGCACCCACCCCCCATGCCAAGAAGACAAGCAAGACCAAATTCTTCCTGGTCTTAAGAGGTATCACAAAAGACACTCAGTAGTACCTGACTAGGTAAATGATAAATTGACTCGCTAGTCAGACTGTTCATTAACCTCCTCCCCAAAAGTAAAGGTCAAAATATCAAAGCTTACTCCAATCCTGGTTTTTGACTGAGGAAAAATTTCTTTTTTCAGTGACATCCACACCAACAGCTGTGTTACCTACAAAGGGGTATTCAGGCAATTTGTTCTCAAGCTGCAGGTGTTTTTATAGCCTACATGTCCAAACTTTATCTTGAACCTAACTTTAAACCTGAAGTTGAACAAGACATTTGATGTACTACGTAACTTCCATACCAGAATACCATGTGTGCATTTATTTCTATCTTCATAAATACATAATTTTCTAAACACTGTGCAAGGCACCAAAAAATTAAGTAAAATCTTCTTTTAGAGTATTTTAATCTCTTTTGACTCAATGAAGTAAATAAGAATCTGAAACCACCTATTTGCCAATTACAAGCCAGCAGTTAAGGCAGGTACCATTGATACAGTGCATGAACTTTCTATTGCAGTTATTTAAATAAGCAGCGTTTTACCATAGAAGTGCATATACAAACTGAATTCCAAACACCAGCAACCCAAGATAGGCACCTAGTTATGAAATTTCCTTGTACGTGTAGTAGAATGCCAAAAGTACTGCCATAAAGTGCAAAGACTATGGACAATAACACTTTCTTTTGAGCATTTTGATACCAGTAACATAATACAACGGCTAAACATTTATAAATGTGGTTTCCATTACAAAAACATGTTCCACATAAAAGCTTCATAATACAATCCAGAAACAGAACTTGTGCGTGTACATATTTAAAAAGTTGAAGCTGTACTGGCATACTTAGGTACCGGGTGTATATTTGCTGACCTCTACAGACACGCAGTAGGTTTATAACCAATTTACATGTACAGTCAAAAATCATTCCACTTTGAGCACCGTGATATCCACTGAGTTTTTCCATTTGAGTGACGATGTGCGACATCCACCCTGGTAATCTGCAATCAAGCATTGCCTGTAAGATGATCTGGTTCACAGCTCTCACCCAGCCCTCCCCAATAAATGGAACCTAAAATTAGTGTCTTCCCAACACAAGCACATGTCAGATGTGGACAAATACATTCATGGTCCCAAACTTAAAACAACTGGTAAGAATTTCACAGTGATCTGGTTAAGGAAGCACAAAGACAAATGATTACATTTAAGATGAAAATTGCCTTAAAACTCAAATGAAGATAAACTGTTATATGATGAGAAGCTAAAGGAACAAACTATTAACCAATTAGAAAAGTGGCTCTTTCCCAACTAATAACAAAAAACCTACACCAATAAATTTAGGGTTCTACTGCTGCAGCAGCCTTTGAGGTAGGTGGGGATGGCTTAAATCGAGGTAGGTAAAGTCCAAACTTGTTTTCAATCCCTGCAAAAGTGGCAACTGCCAATTTATAACCACCAACATGGTCAGGGTTAGGAGCAGGGAGCGTGATCCTAGATTTAGGAACTGGCTCTGATCCAGCTGGTTTTCTGCAAAATAATAAAAAATGATAAATTAATTTCCATAGAGTAAAACCAGTGTTCACAAAAATCTCCTCCACAAAGTAAGCTGAATGAGACATCTGAGTGTACCTCCCAGTAAGTGACTAAATTAAATGCTACAGTGTAATGAGATATACCCTGTTTTAAAACCATCCGGAACAGTGAAGAGTCTTCACGTTGATTGAGTATGGTCAAATCCTGATAAAATTTGTAGTGCATTAATCAAAACTGCAATGTGGGGGAGCTGGGGTTCGTAAGTCTCTGCTACAGTGCACAACCAATCCAGGAATCTAGCAGAGTTTAAACAATTTTTGAGATGGCTTTCAAACTACTGTCCCCAAAGCTTCATAAACAGTCTGCAGCTGCTCCTGGGATCATGTTAAACAGCAATATGCACATCCATCTGTCTCGTCAGCAAAGACAGGAGGCAGAGCTGAAGCTCCAACAAATAGATTTTGGACTTGGTGACAGCTATAGAGTTTTTGGATGTCAATGCCCTGCCTAATCAGGGGCACAGCTCTGCCACCAAACTAACAAGGACTAATGCGAGTGTATCCTGACCTGGCAGGTGTCACATTCCCCCTGCAGTTACAACCCCACTCTATTTAGCCTCTCACTCACACTGTTTATACTAGGACAGCTCCCCAGCTTGAAACAGTGATATAAGATGTGGTAATGTCTTGCTGTGAAACAGGTACTGGAACATCGGGGTCCCAGGCAGATTTGGACACCACATACTTACACTCCCCCAAAGTCCACGTAAAACCATCTCTGCAGCAGCTCGTAAGTCACCAGAGTTACACCAAACTGAGGAGAAGATCGAAATACACGAGCTTGAAAGGAAAGAAAACAGTCCTTAAGTGGCAAAGACCACAACTAGAAATCCCATGGCAATCAAAGCTTTTTTACACACCTCCTGCTCCCTTCCACAGAGCCTTCGGACCTTCCTCTCGAACAATCTTGACAAAGCAGTCTACAACGCCACTGTAGGTGGTCTGTCCTGCCCGGGCTGCCACCTGTAGTCTTGTTTTGATGACATCCGCAGGGGTCACCAGAGAAGCTGCAGGCATACCTACACACCACACAAAAATCATCAGGTGGGTACCACCGACTTGTCACATATGCTACATACCTCATTTACCCAGGGCTTTTCATTCTTACGTCAGGAGAATCCAGCCACGTTTGATTTAAGCAGAAGCTGACTGAGCTTCTCCTACAGGAACAACCATATTGCACGCTTCCTGCCGAGCTGGGAGGCACGAACTGGGTTTTTCAGCACTAACCAGAAACTTGCATAGTTAATAAGCACAAAGTTTTTGGAGGTGAGGCTGATTTTTCCCTTTCCTTTTCACGCCTCTCTGTGGTTCCTGGCATTCTGGTTGCATGCTGCTAGAATAGCTTGTACATGCACACACCTCCCCGACATGCAGCGGTGTCACTGAGAAACGAGATAATGCTGTGCACGATCAGCAAGGCATGAGAGCTAAGGTTTAAAAAAAGGGTCATTCTTCTCATTAGGAACAGCAGACTGCTCAGCTGCAAAGCCACAGCTGACATCCTCAGCAGAAGACTTGGAGGAAGATTTAAATTTACCCTGGCAGATAATCAACTGAAAGCAAAAAATACCAAATTACCAATGGATGGTATTTCTAAAATAATTCCTATCCAAACTGGGGCTGCCCATGTTTAGAACTGGGGGGGGGAAAAAAAAAAAAAAAAAAAAGGCCAAAAAAAAAAAAAAAAAAGCACCAAGACTCTGCCCAGAAGACACTGTCTCTTATGGTTTTATTACTTTTCCATTCTGCATCTGTTCCAAACCAACTTGGTCAGATGAAGATGCATAAATCTCCTTTGCGTTTTTTTTTTTTAGGCTTAATAATTCTGTAACAACTTTTGTCCAAACCAGCATGGGCTGGCTTCAAGCAGCAGAGCACCCTTCCTGCAGACTGCTCTGAGAGATGTAAGCGTGTATCGCCAAAGAACTCCTCCTTCTCTCCTGGACCCCCCAAAATAATGCACAAGCTGAACTTGCACAGTGGTCAGTCTGGCAGGCAAGAGCTAAAACCCGGTAAAGTTTCTGAACTCCAGAAATGCTGAAATTCCTCTTTGCTTAGCCTTACCCACACCAGGATATTGGTTGAGTTGTCTTCAATTTAAAGCTGGACTTTTGTCCTTCAAAAGCCAACCAGTATTTTCAAGGAAAACCAAAGGACATACTTAGAACCAATTCTGCATACTACACATTGACTTCCATCTCCTTGTTCCTCATTCCTTATTACTGAGGGTATTTTGCAGTTAAAGATGATTTTAATCCTGTTTTTAGGAGCTACGTGTACAGGACAAAAGTTTTTACAGACAAATAAAAATTTACAGGTTGATGTGAGGAGCTTACAATCAAAATAAGACAAATGGCACAGCAGGAGCTGACAATAAAAAAGGAGTGAGGGGAGGAGAAGGAAGTTCATGGAGGCAATAAGCAGATGGAGCAAATTAAGGAGATTCTGTAGCTGATGTTAGAATCATCTCAGAAAATGCCATGGGACAACAGGTTGACATCTGGTGAACAGTGAAAACCAGAAGCAGATCAAGCTAGATGACATGCATGTTGCATGCACCCCTAACAGCAATGAAAAGGAAGAAAATACACCCAGCACAAAGCAACACCCACTGGCAAAGGACACAGGCATGCATATGAGCACCGCCAGCTTGAACATCCCAGCACTACGGGGCTGTGGAAAGCTGCAGTTTCCCACACCCAGATGGAGCTCACGCACATGTCTGAAGTGCGATGACCAGGTGAGATTCCCGGTCAGAGCAGAGACATCACCAGAGCGTTTCAGAGGTGGTGGGGTTTTTGTTTTGCCTTCCCCTTGACATTCTCTCACCATGCTTGTACCCAATAAAAGAAATTCCTGTTTTTGTAAACAGTAGGATGAGTGTTGTATCTTTAACACTGTAACTTGCTCATGAGAGTTAACCTAGGATGGGATTCACAGGAAGCACTGGGTAAAATTCGCATTATAGCTAGTTTGGTAAGCCCCATCAGCAACAATAAAGACTGCTTCTGTGCCTGAACTTCAAAGGGACAGTTATCTCAGTCTGCAATCACCTGACAATAGCTAGAGAGAGAAAAATAGGAAAATCTCAGAAATAACTTGGCTTAAAAATGCCAGCTTATGTTTCAAGTCTGTAAATATGATCTGAAGTTCAAAAATTGTTTTGTTCCACTAAAATGGGTGAGAAATAAGCTGGCTGTAGGCTCCTGTTGGGGGGCTTGGAAGCTGGCTCTGGTTTGGGGTGGGCAGGGGGGAGGACAAGGGGTGTTTAAGCACCAGTCATTTGAACACAGCTGGTTTTCCTAGTGCCAGGTCAATTCCTCTGGACTAGGAGCTACTGAATACAGAGCAAACACAAAGAGCTGAAGCTGTATTGCTTCAACAGGTCAGACTAACTGATCTGTACCGTCAGGCTTTGGCTATATCCTAAGCCCAGATACTGGCCATAAAAGGTCCCTGGCCACAGCCTGGTGTATAATCCTGACCAAGAACAGTTTCCCCAGGAAGAAGAAAGTTTAAAATCAAACGAGAAAACACAGCTAAACCACCAACCACCTATCTGTACTGGATTCATGCCACTCCATCACTCCCTTGACCTGCCGGTCAAGGTTGCAGCAGCCCGTCAGGGGCCATGCTGCAGGAAGAACTGGGCTGCAGCTCTGACAGAACAAGCAGCACCCCATGAACACGGTGGAAGTACCTGCTGATGGGAGGCCTCCTGCTTGCGTGGTCTTGTTGCACAAATTTGCAAGCCTGTTTGTTTCCTGAAGGGAAAACCTTGGACATAGCAGGAGCAGGACTCTGAGTCTGCCCCCTCCAGGAGGCAGCTACCAAATGGCACTTCCCTTTGCGTGTAGAAGCCATGCCAGGGACCAGCTACACTGCAGACACAAAGGCAAGCTGAGGCTACAAAGCGTGTCTCTGTCTTTTCCCTTAGGCTCTGGCACACTCGAATGCATCTGTGGCAAGCTGAGCATGATTTGGCTCTCCTGTCCGCTATGTAGCAGACTAAAACAAGCAAGTGCTCAAGATCACACTCAGTGCCTCTGTCATACCTGCATACGCTACGAATCAGCAACCTACTGCACAACAGAAATGTTTTTCAGCTTTTCTGTTTTGTTTAGTATGAAAAAAAATAATGGTAATATCCTCACAATGCCAAGTAACTGCATGGGATACTGTGAGTAGCAAGCAATTACCATCATTTTGTCACAGGCTATGTCATTGTGTTCAGAGAGCTGTACTGCCACCCTGGCCTTTGGACTCCATATACCAAAAATTACAGATTCCTTTGATCATAAATAATTTCACAAATGCTATGATTTTATTTATAAACCATTTCAACAACACTTTACCAGCCAGCCAGCCACAAACAAAAATAGCACAGTAGCTTCACAAGGGAAGATGATACATGACAAAACACCAGCACTTACATCTTTCCCTTTGTTTTTCCTCCTGAACATTGTGATTATACCAGAAACTTACAGCATCTTTATTTCTAACATTAACTCACTCTACAGCATGGTAGCTTTCTATTATTTGGGCACACGGTTGCAAAAAGCGTATAGTTCTCCTGAGCTTTCCAAAGTTCTCGCTGCCGTAACTATTGCGCTGCAGGTGCAATATAGTGGCATGCAAAAAGAATTTTGGGCACTTACCAGCTATTGATCCAGCCAAGAGCAGATTTCCAGGGCTAACTCTCCCATCTTCATTTGCAAATGAAGATTTCAAATGTGCGTAACAGGGGAAGTAAATGGCAGAGAAGGGGATGTCACGCAAAAAACACGCCTTAGCACCCTGTGTTGAAAAAAAACCCCAAGTTTTGCAAGTGAGCAAATTTAACATGATGAACTATGAACACCAGAGAACAGAGAAACATCGTATTTTTTTGTTTTGCTGCAAAGAGCTTATAGAAAAAGAATCTCTTCCCTCAAAATTTTGAGAGATCCATGTATTTCACCCTGCCGAGGAGTGTCTGTGTATTGCTTCTTGGTTCAGTAACTTGTCATTCTCCCTCACTCTGTAGTACTGTAGTTATTTGCTGATAATAGAGAAAATGTCATGTGTTGGAGTAAGCTTTGACAACACCTTTGCAGAATTTCAAATAGTTGACACTATAGCCATGCACCTGCAGTAGAATTTAGGATGTGTCTGAAGAAGACCGAGCCACAGGACAGGTCCATCCCCTCTCATTC